CGTCTTTTGCCCCAACGGGGACTGAAGGGCACGTGACTTGCGTACGTGCCCGCCTAGACGTTAAATAGACACACACACACACACAGCCCAAGCGATCCCATTTGCTATAAGAGCGTTCAATAGTGCTTGACTTGTCAGGACGCCGCCTGGTCTTCACTTCTGACGTGCCAACACGTGATTTGTGACAGGAAGCTAAAAAACTATATAAAAAATAAGATCTTATATCTTAGGGTAAAAAGCCGCGTAGAAGGCTACTAAAAGTTAAGGTTAAGGCTTAAAGTAAGAGTTAAAATATAGTGTAAAATAAGGCTATTCGGACCCCTGACTAGCTTACTAATATTGACCCTAGATTATTAGCGGCTATAATAAAAGTAGAAGCTAATACCGAAGTAATTGTGACGGAGCTGGATTTCATTTGACAGGATTTCATTCGCTTGGCCAAGCACGTGACGAGACTTGGCATTGGAACAACTTAAATAACTTCGCTCCTTTCAGATTCTCTTCTCTCTTTAGTTTGATTTCTTCGTACCTACGGTTTTAGTTCTAGCAATTGATTCAAAAGCTGTATACACTTTATCCTTTGTTGGCATCCGTGACAGTAATTACCTGTTTTCCTAAAGGTTCTAAATTAACTAAATAGTCTAGTTATTTAAATATATATTTGTTATATTTATATATAACTAGTCTATTTAAGTAATTAACGGTAGACTATATACCCGACGGTATTTAGTCTTAGTAAGGCCGACTACCGACCCTACTAAGTAACTACTACTTATTTAGATATACTATAATAACTAACTATTAAAAATACTAATTAATCTTATATCTATTACTTCGTAATTTTATAATAATATTAGGATTTAATTCACGTATTTCTAACTATTAGTTATTAAGTTATTGATTATTTACTTATAGTATGCCGGCTTAGTGTTATGCTGGCTTAGTGTCGCCAACTCTTCTAGCGGGAGGGTAAAAAAGTCGAAAAAAAAATTTTAATCGAAAACTAATTAAATCCTGATTGGTCGAAAAGTTATTACATAATCACAACACAACATAACTTAACGTACTTCATAAGGAGTCCGGATTTATAAGCAGTCCGGATTTTTTACCCCACCATTGACCACCCTACACACTTTCAATCTACATAACTTACCCAATTATTGTTCAAATGTCTCGAAAAGAAGGTCAAATTGCTCTTGCAATCAGTGCATACAATAAGGGTCAATTTATAAGCTTAAAAGCAGCTTGTACAAGGTACGATGCGCCATATTCTACTACTTACGACCGCGTCAAGGGAGCTATTCCACAACGCGATTTCCGACCCCGAAACCAGAAACTCACCGACCTCGAGGAATCAGCACTTATACAATGGATGTTATCAATGGAAGCTAGAGGTCTGCCAGTACGGAAAGATTCGATACGCCAAATGGCCGATTTACTACTGGAAAAGCGAACTGGAGTAGGTCGAATTATTGTCGGAAAATGCTGGGTTGACAACTTTATAAAGCGCCACGACTCTTTACGGACGAAATACACTCGTAAATACGACTATAAGCGCGCAAAATGCGAGGATCCTATGATTATCCGAGATTGGTTTCGATTAGTACATAATATTGTTGCGAAATATGGTATACTAGCGGAGGATATATACAATTTCGACGAGACTGGCTTTCAGATGGGAGTAATTGCGACCGCAAAAGTTGTTACAGGGTCAGAATATACAGGACGGGCTATTCATATACAACCAGGGAATCGCGAATGGGTTACAGTTGTCGAATCAATTTGTGCAGATGGATGGGTGTTGCCTCCAATGGTTATATTTGAGGGCAAGGTGCATATATCGACTTGGTATACAGATCAATTACCAGCAGATTGGACAATTGCACTTAGTGATAAAGGGTGGACCAATGATTCCTTAGGTCTTAAGTGGCTTTCAGACGTATTTGAGAAATATACCAAGGACCGTGTAAAAGGAGTATATCGACTTTTAATCCTCGATGGCCATGGTAGTCATTCTACTCCCGAATTCGATCTTTTCTGTTCAGAACATAACATCATAACGCTTTGTATGCCACCGCACTCATCTCATCTTTTACAGCCATTAGATGTTAGTTGCTTTGCAGTTTTAAAGCGACTTTATGGACGAGGAGTCGAGGAGCTAGTACGAGCCGGCACATATCATATCGATAAACCAGACTTCCTTTCAATATATCGTGTAGCCCGTACAAGTACTATGGTCAAAAACACAATCTGTAATGGATTCGCAACTACTGGCCTTGTCCCGTACAACCCAGATCAAGTATTGAGTAAATTACATACTCAATTACATACGCCTACTCCTCCTTTACTTTCTCCAAACCTACTACCTTGGGTCCCTGAGACACCCCATAATACATATGAGGCAGATCAGCAAACCCAGACAATTAAAGCATCTATTAAACGACGTACAAACGTTCTCTCAAGCCCTACTGCTATTGCATTAGATCAATTGGTTAAAGGGTGTAAGATGGCTATGCAATCAGCTACGGTTTTGGCAGAGGAAAATCGACGTTTACGAGCTGAATCTGAACGTCAAAAGAAGAAGAAGACTGTGCGACGTCAATATATTGCTACTGGGGGTGTTCTTACAGGTCAGGAAGGGAGGGAACTTATTCAAAATAGTGATAATATGGTTTTGGATGAAGCTGTGGCCTCGCTAATTGAACCACGAATTCGTGCACCACGATCCTGTATTATATGTAGATCACTAGCGCGTACTGCTCCTAGGTGCCCAGATCGAGAATAAGAAAGATAGTATAGTTTATATAAATAAATATTAAGTGGTTAAAGTTCTATGGTTTTTAAAAGTTGGATGGTGGGGTAAAAAATCCGGACTGCTTATAAATCCGGACTCCTTATGAAGTACGTTAAGTTAACTTATCACTATAAAGACTTCATTATTATATACTCTGAAGCCAACAAGTAGCCTGATGTTTCGTTCTTGAAGTAGAACGAATTTTCATTTTCCAAAGTGTGTTTAGCACATGTCTAAAATATGTACAAGAAAGGTAGGTTCCTACGGCATCCTGAATGTACTAAAAGGTCGAATAGAGTAAATACTAATTCGCAAATCGCGAATCGCAAAAGTTATATATTTACTACTACTGTACTAGAATGCCCAGCCCCCCACACCCCCACACCCCTAAGTACATAAGAAGGGGGCCTGATTATGTAAACCCGCCACCCACTGTCACCCACCCTCGCTGTCGCTATACCCTTACTATCGCATCGTCACTGTCGGATAGGGTTGTGCCCTAGTATGTTGTTTAGAGAGGAGAGAGAGAGAGAGAGAGAAGTATGGAAATAAACTAGTTGTACGCGTCGCTTATCGTTAGCCCTAAATACTACCTTCCTAAAATGGCTAGGCTATCACGTGTTACGCTAACAATTGTTTGTTACCTACCTTCGCGCCCCTCGCTCTTCCCCGCTCTCTCTTCTCCATTCCTTATTACAGCGACAGTGACAGTGAGTATAAACGACAGTAAGTGTGGGCGATAGTAAGGGTGTACACGTAAAAATGACTAGGCACGTGAAGTCTAAGGGTGGGAGTAGGTGGAGTTGAAGGAGCGTTCGAAATAAATTCAAGCTTATTTACCTTCAATTCTGGCGCTGTTATATAACCCTAACCCTGAGCTAGTTTGCGATTTGCGATTTGCGAATTAGTATTTACTCTATTTGACCTCTTAGTACATTCAGGATGCCGTAGTTCCTCACCCCCCATTACTGTAATCTCTCACTTACAAGTACCCAGCATCGACCCACCACTCATTCAGATACCCACTTCCCAAGACTTTTTCAATCTGAACAGCCGAACTACGCTTCGTCGAGAAGTTTGATCTCGTCCCAGTACTTCCGGGTCCAGTGTTCGCGTACTCCTCAAAATTAACATGTCCAGTACGAGACTCACTAGAACTCCAAACACTCCATCCTTCATCCTTGACAATTGCACCAATATAAGTGTTTTGAAATACGACCCTCGCATACTCCCTCCAAGGCCGTCCGAGGTACGTCGACTTCGACGCAATAGTCGAATTGATCCCGTCAACATTCGAGTTGCTAATCACAAACCAACTTGGATTACTCGAGCTATCCCGTCCAGACGCGGTGATGGCGCCATTAGCAATTGTCCTGATGTCGACTTTTTCAAACCAAGCGATTCCTGCGGAGCCGTAGATGAAATCTACCGCACCAGTGATGAGAGACTTGGCGTAGAGTTGTTTTCCTGTGTTGGTGAGGATAGTATCTTGGTAGCCGCGGAATTGGCAGGCGTAATAGCCTTGGTTTGTTGCTTGGGCTGAGATGGCGAGGTTTTGTCCATCTTTTGAGATGTGTCCGAAGGTGTTGACGATGTTGAGGTTATAAATTTTGGTATTTGGAGACCAATTTCGAAGGGTGGCAGTTAGATCATTGGATGTGGTATCTTTGAGAGCAAGGTTGTAGGTGATGGTGGCTGCGTTTCCTGCATAGGTACGAGCATCAGGAGTAGACCCTTGAATTGTGAGGGTCGAAGCGAGTTTGGGGATGTAGGCTTGCTCTTTGTATGTCCCCGGATAAATGAACAATGTTTGAGCAGAGGTTGAAGAGTTGGAAAGAGCATCTATTCCAGCTTGAATAGTTTTATGGGAGCCCGAGACAGAGCCAGTTGCATCAACGACGATTGCTCCTGCCGCAGGGACGGTTCGATTGTATGTAGCAAGGATGGAAGGATCGATATCGATCAGGAAAGGACTGGAGAAAACGGAGTTGAAAAGAACGGCGAGAGTTAAAAGACACTTCATGATTGCAGTACTGTAAGGTCTCAGAATAATTCAACAAGAGAAAGGAGAAACGAAAGTGAGGATGGTGAACATCTTAAGTACTAAAACTTACTGTCTAGTGGGATGATATGTGATTTGTATACAAGTGACATCGGATACAGTAATCTTCTTGACGACTACATGCACAAATGCGGGGCATCGACCCATTAGTAGCCAGAGAAAGTTTTTGCACCAATATCCTTCCGCAGACGCCCAACTTGGCAGGACAGTGTGTACATGAACGGATCTTGGCGTCAATATTTCATTACTGTATTCTTGGCTGTGCAGAAACCATATTTTTTGAGCGTTGTGGATGCGCCTTCAAGTGCCGTGGATGCCAGAAAGAATATTCACGTTTGCCAATATTGATTCACAGCAACTAGGTACTAGAATTGTTTGCCCATGGTAACCTTGATGCAAGCATGAATTTCACGTAGATTCACTGTACCATCGCTACTCGTTTAAAAAGTTATTTTTTGCATGTGGCGTCATCAGAAGAATGAACTTTCTCATTGACCGCGCTCTATCTATTTCCAGATTTTGTTGAGGTCCGTATTTCAAAAACGAAAAAACGCCATCGATGATAGCCTTTCAATTAAAGTATAGGAATTTGCATTAATTTCTTGATTGAGTTAAAACGTAAAAACGAATGTTGATTGGTTTGAAAATACTTCTTTTCAATTTCTAGGCGTACAAGCTTGCTCGGTCTGGACAGCTCGGGTCTCCCCCCCCTTGTCACTTTCTGATATACCTCCACATGAATCGGACAATTCAATTAGCTTAGAGGGCTATATTGTGGAGTTATACCCTGCCTATAACAAGTCGTATACAGGGAAGGGGGAGACGCAAGCTGTCCAGACCCTTTACAGTACAAATGCCAATACGTTACTGTAAGCAAACGGGAGCGCAACTTAAAGTATATAACGTGTGGAAGGCCTAGCGTAAGGAATAAGTAGAATCGAGTGGAGTAGGAACAACTTGTGACGGTTATGGTCGCGAGGGCTGGATGTCACATGCTCGCTTAGCGAGGCGCTAGCGCGCACGACCTGTATTTAGTTCCCAGCTCTCTCGAGCTCTCCTTCTTTCCTCGTCTTTTGTCCTAAGAATAGAGTGTTAATTGTTCTGAGTTCTACCTGAAGCACGTCTGTCACATTACAAAAGACCCTTAGTTGAGGCTAAGTATCCCAGGTCTAAGTTCACGTTCACGTCCAAGTTCAGGTCCACGATCTTACGTCTCAATTCTCACGATTTCTACCACTTTCTTGTGCGCAAGAACCCTACACTTTACAACACGACGAAACCTCTTCTTTTTTCGACTTCTCTACAATGGATGCCCTTCAAGTTCAGTCCGCCATCGCTGAGTTGCAAGCTGAAGTCCAGCGACAGCGCGACGAGATTCACTTACTCCGGTCAAGAACATCCGCAAAGCCTAAACCTTCCCTCCCAGACCCTGACAAATTCACTGGCCAGGCTCATAAATTCGACACCTGGCTTCCCTCAATCAAAGCAAAGCTACGAGTCGACGGTACAGCTATTGGAGACGCTATTGCGCAGTTCTACTACGTCTACCTCAACCTTGACTCCCACGTCCAAGCCATGGTCCTTCCACAGCTCTCTCAAGCAGAAGACACCCAAAGCTGGGACTACCAAACAATCCTCGAACAGCTCGCGCGCGTGTACGACAATCCAAACAAGGTACAGGAGGCGGAAGACAAGCTATTTGCCCTCAAGCAAGGTGCTGACTCAGTCCCTACATATATCGCCAAGTTTGAGCGTGTCCTTTACGAAGCAAGAGGTCAGGACTGGCCAGATGTCAACAAAATTTCCACCTTTAGGAATGGCCTTAATTCTACTCTTCGCGGACGACTTTCTCAACAACTCAACCTACCTCGCGATTATACTACATTCATACGCGTCGTACAACAATTAGCAGGCCGCTTCTCTTCGTCTACACAACCTACACAGTCCTACTCCTCTGGCAACCACCACAGCGAACCAATGGACATAAATGCTTTTAGCATCAATTCCATCGACCCATCCTCTCCTCCACGCGCTCGCTCTATTTCCCCTGAGCGTAGAGATCAATATAGAGCTGAAGGCAGGTGTGTACGATGTGGCTCCTTGGAACACTGGGTCAACGATTGCATACTCCGTCCTTTCTCACCAGGACCACAAGGAAGGAAATCAGCCATAGATTTGGGGGATCTACCAGCTGGGGAGGCATTCCCAAAGCCAGTACGAAAGCAGATTGCAAGACCAGGCAGAGTAGTAATAGCAGCTATGAACGACAATGCTTACGATAGCGCGGAGGTAGATTCGGACGATCCTGACCATCCAGATGCCTGGCAAAAGGGTATTTTTCACAATTAGTTCAGATTTTCAACGCTCGGGGCGAGCTCTTTTTAAAGGGGGGGGTGATGTGACGGTTATGGTCGCGAGGGCTGGATGTCACATGCTCGCTTAGCGAGGCGCTAGCGCGCACGACCTGTATTTAGTTCCCAGCTCTCTCGAGCTCTCCTTCTTTCCTCGTCTTTTGTCCTAAGAATAGAGTGTTAATTGTTCTGAGTTCTACCTGAAGCACGTCTGTCACACAACTACTCAACCCCAATTCAGGAGGTTTTAGCCCTACTCTAACTTACTCGCCAAGAGTTAATTAGATTAGCGTTAATCGGCCCGGGTCACCGTAGCGCGTCCGTGTTTCTGGCCGGCCGGTCCGACTACCCAGATCTAGACGGCTCTTCTAATATACCCATTAATTTAACGGTAAAGGCTGGTCTATAATTAATTAGCCTACGGTCATTAATATACAACCTAATAATACTATTATGGAAGTAGTAGAAAAGGCCTTTCTAAGTAAATACCATCGTAGTAGTTAAGCCTACTGATCTAGCTTACTTAGACGAGTGTGTCTTTCTTACACATGGAGTACTCAAATTGACAGCTAGATAGCCCTTGACGTATTGCTGAAATGAGAGGTAGAAAGTTATAATATTATTCACGGGAAACATCAAGGTGGTTCCAAAAAAGAGTGAGGCCGAAACTCTGAAGCAGGATTTTCCAAAGAGGACTTGGATGCCTTCCACACGAAGCGGCGAAGACATGCAACGAGAATACGATCATGACGATGCAACCCTTCAGTCAGCGCCAGGAAGAAGCTGGATGTGAGTAATAACATCAGGCTCCAACAGTCGAGGAAATATCCTCCCATGATAGATCGGCTAAGATGATATTACTAGACTTTTTCTCGGCTAAAAGTGAGCTGGACGACACCCTACACCCATTTCAAAAATAAGAATATCTTGGGTAGGTCACTAGATCAATCAAGCTGAGAATGCTTCTCTTCATTTCCAGCAATCACCATCATCTCCTCCTAACCCGAGCAATTCTTTGCACGTTACATACACCACCATTTGATCATAGCGTGCTCCAAGCCTTATCAAGAGGCATATCAACTCCGCTGATGCTCTTGGCTCCGTCACTCGACAAGAACAAAATTGCGTTGGCGACGTCGTCGCCTTTGATACCCTCCATATCGCACAATCCAAAGACCGGTCTAGACAAATTAGTTCAATCCACATACTTCCGAGAAGGTAGCGGAGGAGTAAGACGTACAATGCTCTATCGAAAGCAGACTTATCAAACGTTTTCATAGACAGAAGATCTATGTTGGTATCACTGACTCCTGATTGTAGATATTAGAGAAAGAGAACTCTCTAAGAGGGAAATCATTAGCATACTTCCGGGGGAAACGGCATTACAACGAATCCCTTCGTTTCGGAAATGGAAAGCAGTGCTCCTTGTTACTCCAAGCTATATTTGCGTTAGCTTTTTTAATAATAAAAGAATTCTGTATTCTTGAAAGCACTTACCAAGCCATGCTTAGAAGCTGTATAAGCTACACCACCACTCGCACCACTAGTAGAAGACTTCGAACAAACATTGACGATAGAACCACCGCCATTGGCCCTCATCAAAGGAATGGCCCCACGAATCAACCGTGTTGGGATGGTAAGGTTAACACCAATCACGCGATCCCACTCATCATCATAGAAGTTGTCTGCAGAGGCAAGACCATCTGCGATACCTGCAACATTGGCGAGAACATCCAATTTCGGACTTTCGTGATGCAATTAGCGATACAACTTTCATCGGCTGCTTTGTCACATGATCATACCCAAATTTCTCGGTGCAAAGCTTGATCACTTTATCAGTTTCGCCATCCGCTAGGAGGTTGCCGCGATAGAAGTGTAGTCTTTCAGTGCTCACGTCGCCGAGTTTCGCGTAATCCAGCTCGTTGATGTCCACCGCAAGCACGTAATACTTGGAACTGAGGAACCGGATTGTTGTAGCGAATCCTGCTCGGTGTCAAAGTCTTCCTTCGGGCATGATGTGGAAGTAAAATTGATGCAAAGTTGACCGGAACTATATTCATGTTTGAAAGCTTGTCGGTGTCAAGATATTTTTTTGAAGGACATTAATCTGCTCGAAGAAATTGAGTACACACCCACACCTGAAGCACACCCAGTTACAATGGCTACCTTTCCATTGCTTTCTATAGTTTGTGTTGCTGCAGACATAACTGTTCGACTTTTAATTCAATTCCCTTCGTAAGTGTAACAAAAATAAATATTAGAAGCTCTTCGATTTGTGAAGTGTATTGTAACCTAAAATTTTGGGACAGAGTTCGTGCTAATGAATCAAGGGATGAATGATTTTGCCTTAAGTAAGTGACCAACAGAGTCTATATAATAAATCAAACAAGGGCAGTTATAGAAGAGGGGATTCTAGGTCTTTTTGACTAACTCTCTACTTATGAAAGCCAGCATCTTGAAACTCTAGGGTGAAAACCTAATACGAACTCGAATAGCGCGTACGCTCCGAAACTCCGAGACCGAATCAATAGTGGCCATTTCTACCTGGGCCACACTTATGAAAGCCAGCATCTTGAAACTCTANAACTCTCTACTTATGAAAGCCAGCATCTTGAAACTCTAGGGTGAAAACCTAATACGAACTCGAATAGCGCGTACGCTCCGAAACTCCGAGACCGAATCAATAGTGGCCATTTCTACCTGGGCCACACTTATGAAAGCCAGCATCTTGAAACTCTAGGGTGAAAACCTAATACGAACTCGAATAGCGCGTACGCTCCGAAACTCCGAGACCGAATCAATAGTGGCCATTTCTACCTGGGCCACACCTAGTATAAAAGCACTAAACGTAGGCACTTAGCTATAAAAAAACCTTGATATAAGGATATCCTCGGGGGCAGTTTTCCTAAGGATATAACCGAGGTTATCCTTATAGCAAGGGTCTTAGTATAGGTAACAACAAGGTCGTATATTTAAGTACTAGGAATATATAATATGATATCTAGTACTATTAGTAGTATACGTAGGAATTCCTGAATTCCTATTACTAAAGTTCTATTTTATACCTAAAATATATAGAATTTACTTAGAATCTAAGAGGCTTACTTATATAATTACTAGAATCCTAGACTCTAGGATATAATTAAGAGTACATTTAGTATTAGAAATATTTCGGGACCAAAAAAACTAAGGATTATCCTTATATGAAAGTCATTCTTAAATCCCTATATAAAAAAATCGGGACTAAGAATTTAAGGATATAATAGAGGATATCCTTATATCGAGGATCCTTATATCGAGGTTTTCCTATATATTCACACTACTTGGGTACCAAATAACCAAAAAGATGATATCTAAGTAACCTTATGATTCAGCCCTAAGCCCAACACTAACCGAAACACATTCTAGCCTCAAATCTAAACAGAAAAACAGGTATTGTAGCATCCCTTCTATACTTCCCGCTAGAGAGGTATGGGGAATCGGTCTATTCAACGATTCCAAAACTCTACTACCGTCTTTCCGAACTCGGCTATACAAGTTTCCAGTACCGATGCTAGATTTCCTCTCCTCCCGTCGCATCCGACGCCTTGACTTTCTAACAGTAGTCTCGCCAAGCTATCTTTCAAGGCTTATATTGATACTAGAAGACGTGGTGTTATCCCTTACTCCGTAACCAGCACACTACCGGTAGGAACTTAAGTGACAACACCAAAGCTAAACCCAATTAGGCCGTACAAAGTATTAAAATAGAACGTCTCGTTAGAAGCAGAATAATAGACAGGAATCAACTTACTTTAATAGTATACCAAGGGTTCGAGGGTCTATAGAATATATCGCGCCATAGACGTAGTCTTAGAGGGGTATATAAGGGACTATAGATAGGCACCTTTCTCTTACCCTTTACCTTCGCTAATTTAGCAGTATTTTTATAGGTTAAAGGGTCGCCTTTACGCTATCGACTCTAAGTAGAGGTATGTGAAAAAGAAGAAACAAACGATTAAGGTAGAAAAAGTAGTTATACTTATACTTTAAACAAGGGACGAAAAGTACGCCAAAAATAATATACTTATTAACCGAGTATATACTTTTACCCTAGGCGACAACATTCTATATATTATATCATCAATTATACATTTTAGCTAGTTTCCAAGCTGTTTTTATAGTAGTACTAAGTAATTCAGGTGTGGAGGCGTAGTGGGCTAAATGCGAATCTAATAGACTAACGTTAATGCTAAGAATCTGTTATTACCGGTAGTGTGCTTCTTACGGAGTAAGGGATGGTATGTAAGCATACTTTACAGCAAACGTTTAGCACGCGTAATTGACCATCGAGTGCATTAGAGGAATGTTTGCCATACGTGTTTTACATCAAATATGGAGAGAACCCTGGGCCTCAGCCTCTGGTTACATGGGTATGCACCTAAACATGATTCCTGAACCATAGTTTGACTGCAGTTTCTTACATTGATATGAGTCTCCCCTCATAGCTGAAAATTCCAATCTCTGATGGTGCAATAGAAAATGAACATGAGACGAATAATTGTATTTCATTCTCGATTTCTAGAGATTCCGCCTGACGTCCTGAATCACAATACTCATCTATATCACCAACATCTACAGAACTCTATAGATGTCTATCCCAAATGACCGTAAATCTATGCATGCTTCTGTAGTCGCAGCTTATTCCAAAAGCTCCCATAACGCCTGGTATCCTCATCCTCATTACTCGAAGTGCCTGGTTCTCTACCAGCTTATTAGTCCCCTCTCTCTATCAAATCCAGCTCTTAATTGACTCTCAGGTTTCACCAACTTCCCCTGCAGAACAGTAAATTTTATGATGCCCTCACAATCCTCTGGCTTAACTCTCGCAATCCACATGCATTGTGCAACGCCCATCTGTTCTTCTCCCTCGATTCCTTTTGCAGGTTTGGGAAAATTGTCATCGCCAACTTTGGCTCGTGCTACCTGATCTAACCCGAATGCATTTGCTTTTCGATATATCATTACATTTGCTGAATATTTGTGTCCACCAACATGCGAAATGAAGTATATTCCCACGCCCCCCGGTCGCTCGTCGTTGAGGTCACGAAAAAGACCAGAGATCCGTAGATGGCGTTCAAATTCCTTGCGCAAGAGTGGAGCGCTCTGTCCGCATCTGGCATCTCTGGTCTTTTGTGAACAGAGAAGGATCAATGCTCGGTGAGGGGACGGTCGCGAAGTCAATTGCTCGGCTGTGTGAAGGGGATCAGATAGCGATTGTGGTATCGAAATCGGGCCCAAGGGCGTTGTGTTTGTTGGTGCTGGGTTGATGTATTCAGATATCAGGGTGTTAACAGATTTTGGTGTAACGTTCTCGATAATTACAAAGGCAGGGAGTAGGAGGACAGTTGTTGGTTCGGAATAGTCTGAGGAGTGGGTTGGGGTTGGAATGTTGGAAGCAGACAGCATGAGTTTCTGGATACTCGTTAGCTTGAAATATCAAGGAAGAAGTAGGGGAGCTTGGATATACATACACCATTCGTAGGCTTCACGTCTGCCTTCTTTTCGATGGCCTCCATTAAACTGCCCTTCTCGTCTGCCACATCCCGCACCCAGTCCGTTTTTCCCGTTGCTACTAGAACATGCGTACTCCATCCTTTGACATGCCCATACAGTTTGTCCTCCTCGTCTATCTTGAAGCCCTTTGGGTACTTGACATGGCAAGAATTGCAGTCATGGTCGCAGTCCTGGCCGTCAACTTCGGGATTAACTTTGGGAAAGAGAGCATCGATAGGGGTCATCGCTGAAGTGCCAGAAATAGTGTTTTGTACAGAACTGATGATCGACTTGAACGCTGAAGTCATTTTGAACGAACGCGAAAAACGAGTGGAGGTGTTGTGGTTTGCCTGTTGGGGGGCAGGACTTTGTGTACTTGTAGACATTTTGGCGGGGCAATCAATCCGTCCACTTTTTTCCAACGGCCCACTCTTTCAACACCGAGCTCCGTAATCAGATCCGCACTTAGCGTCTTGGCGCTTCAGTTCCCCTATTTTTATCTTATCAGATTGTTGCTGTACTGCCTTGCTGCCTGGGGCTCAAATCAACATACCGGAACTCCTGTACAATGGCTGGGGATGAAGAAAGAGGTCAAGATCATCTCACCCAACAACCAACAAATTATTCAAGGAGCGAGGGCCTCTTATACTCCAACAACAACGGCAGGCCCCAGTAAGCTGACATATGCGTCCCGTCCCTGTGAAACCCGAACATCCGACTCTCGTCATTGCTTGCACCTAATTATCCACGCATGTAAATATTGCATGCGAAGTCGTAAGAGAATTACCGAGCATCGGACCCAAGTCAACGGACATATCGGCAATTAATCGTGCAGTTAGTACACAGATACAGCCTCAACCTTTCTACTGTTATGTTTCTGTTTGGCTGCCCGGCCGCTCAGGATTTGGATTGGGATGAGAATGGCCTTCTTGGATCTTTCACTGCACCTTTCGTTCGATTGGCGAGGCTTCCAAAATCAGAGACCGAGATTGATAAAGAACCATCCGTCTCCGTCATAGATATTCCTCAATGGAGATCGTTTCCACTCGAACCAAAACATTTGAAGACCGGCTACACTCAGGGTCAATGTTGGCTGCCTGAATATCAGAGAGCTTCTTTCTTCACCCCCTCCGACGTTGGCTCCATTCTAGAGGAGCTTTCCCAGAGCGGTGCGCAAAATACAAGGAGACGATCAGCAAGACATGTTGATGCCTCTGTTTCCTCGCAACAATCAAAGACCGAGAAGAGGGTAACCAAGAAACCAAGGAAAGTCAGCGGGAAAGGTTCAGTACCAGATACAAACAGCCAGCTCGGTGATATCGTATCACAATTTTATGAGGAATCTTATGCTCGACATGAAGAAGTCCCTTCATCACAATTAGTATCTGCCTCATCCCAAGCAAGCTCGTCATACTCGAGCTCCGAGTGCTATTCATTCGACACACATTCCTCAATAAAATTCGATAGAAAGGAACCCCCGAAATCCGGCCTACTCAGCCATTTGCAAGACTTCCCAAATGCCTTCGAAATTAATTCAATTCGACCCCAAGTCATCACCGTCAACATAATAGTTGGCATCATTTCAGTTTCCGAGCCTCGAACCATTAGAACAAAATGGGGTCACAACGTGGAACTTGTTGAAGCTATCGTAGGCGACGAAACCAAATCCGGCTTTGGGGTCAATTTTTGGATATCCAGCTCTCAATCTGCCAGTCTGAAAGAGTCAGTTGGATCACTAAGACCTCAGGATGTGCTTCTCATACGTCATGTGGCTTTGGATACTTTCATGGGGAAGGTGTATGGACAGAATGCTAGGAAAGGGTGGACGACAGTACATCTTCTCTACAGAAACAAAGTTGATCGGAATGATACCTCCGGATACTATACCAGGAGCGACTTTACGGCGGAAAATCCATCAAATCCGCAGTTGGCCAAAACCAGATCCGTGAGAGAATGGGTACTGAGGTTTGTTGGGGGAGGTTGGGGTAGAAGGCGAGGTTTAGATAATCAGGATATTCTACCTCCAGATACCCAATAGCAAGTTACCTTGAATAAACACTTGGGTTCTTGGCTCATCGGTAATTAACTTAACTACGCTTGACTAATATATGACATAACGAGTACACTCCCACTATCGCTTATACCTTATACAGGTGGCCCACAAAGTCTTAGCTGTCGGACAGGGACTCGCCGATGCTCGGCCCGACATACTCCGTACTACTTGAGTAGTGCTCAAGTAGTACTCGAGTACTTGGTGGGTAGAGTGGAGTAGGGTTAAAACTTACTTGAGTAGAGTAGGTGCCACTACTCTACTCCACTCTACCCATTCCTTACGCTGGTCAAATCAAATCACCAAAATCTCCTAATCAAAAGGAACTTAATCAAATCAAAATGAATTCATGACTAATTGATTGACTGTTTAGTTTGTTCTCACGCTGCCCCGAACACGACTGTTCCAAACGAACTTCATTGCCATCTATCCCACTCGAACAAGAATCCTGCAGGAGTCCGCGGTGGTCTCACAAGATTGAACTCATCCGGTCGAGATCCTTCAGTATGATCCCAACCAGTAGCACCGTCATAGTTGGGAAGATTATGTCTAGACACCATGTTTGAAATAGTGCTGTCAAAATCCAACAATAACTTATCACCCAATATGCGACGTACTTCATCTCTCAAAGTAGGAGGTATCGGCTCATAACTTCTTGGGAAAACCTCTGGCTTCGCTGCCGGGATGGTACCTCCAGCTATGGTATGCGGAGATGCATCTGGGTCCTCCCAATGAAGTGTGCACCATGTCTTGACACCACACTTTATCTTGCCCTCCTCAAAAACCGCTCTTTCATCAAGTACGCCGCGTGAGATTGGGTGCGTCGAATAACGTGCTGATGACACTTTCCCAACTGTTCTGCCATCGGGTGAATGGTATTTTTGGAAGTTGTTTACGACATCCAGAAATGTCGATGTGTTCTCTGGATCTGCCTCGGTATCGCGATACGAAGTGAGGTTTTGATTGACGTGCCCGGAGCAGATATTGAGATCCCTCAAGTATGCGAATATCGTCTTTCCACCCGTTTGCATGATCTTGATCTGAGATACGTCATGGATGGAGAAGATCTTGCCGTCGTGTTTGAAGTGTCGGTAATTGTTTGGAAGATTGCTAGCAGAGAAGGTCCATACTTTTGCCGCATTGAATGTAGTCGCGAAATTTCCTTCGTTATCAAAGTTGTAGGCGATATTTACAATCTTTCCCCTGCAGTTAGGACATGTTGCGATACCTCCTTGTTCGCTTTTTGGCGACATGTCAAGCCAGGTTTCGATACAATCGTGGCAGAATTCGTGCTTGCAATTCATGACTTTGGCTTTCTTTTCGATCGGTTCGCAGCAGATAGGGCATTCATTGTCATCATCTGTGGACGCGATAGCTTTCTCTTGTTTGATGACCCCCACGTGTTGGGTTGCGATCTCCGCCTCTGATGTACCGTTTGGCACTGTGTCGCGTGCTGAGGTTGCTACCGCTGGTGTCTGGTGTTGAGGATCCATGTTCTCGCCTTCTGTCGTTAGGTATAGATTGGTATTTTGAATTTGGTCTTCCATCTATATGCGCGTTGTGTTGAGAGTTTGGTCGGTGGGTGGTACATCGGAAGGTAGGTAGATCGGAAGATAAAGAATGGGCGATGTATTTGCAAGGCCCTAGCGGCGATGGCTAGCCTCTGGGTAATGACCTCCTCAGAGAGCCGAGCTTGGTAATGTGGCTATGGGAACAGCTTGGTAATGTGGCTATGGGAACAGTGCTGATTCTTGGTGAATTGCTCGCTTCAAGAGCACAAATCTTGATTCACTGCTGATACTCACCTTCAAAAGGAATTTCACATCCAACTTCATAGACTACACCAGACAAACATTAGACATGCATTCTGCCATTTGATTTATAAATAATGTCGCACTAGGATAACAGTTAGCATGAGGAGCATCTGGATAGGTTGTTTAGGCGTGACATAGCCGCAAAGAGAGAGAGAAAGCATGCGAGAGAGCTTTGGCATCTGAGTAGGTAAATTATATTGATCAACTTTAATTACTCAAGAAGAAAAGACAAAAGGAATTTACGAATTATGTAGGAGCAGGCTGAGACGTAGTTAACCAATTCCATGATTGGTGATAAAGTATGTCAGATTAGGAATGAGGAAAGGAATACTCGCTTAAACTTCGGAACCAAAAGGATGGAGTGAATCTGAACCAGGAAATTTAAGTGCAAAAAGGTAACCATATTACCTTGAGAAAAATAGAAATAAAACTGCAGAAGTTCCGCAGCATCCACTCTTCTAGTAGTGGTAGCGGGTAGGACCAGCTAGCTGCATTAATTTGAGAAAAGCTACTCTAGACCAACTTTTGGCGCTGCAAGGAGATCTCCTTCTAGACCACGTCGACTGTGCCATTTTTCATGATACACTGTGGGATTTGCTCTTTTGCATGCTAGTAGAAAGCTTTTTCGCAATCTTCATGTGTGGGAGGGGTTGAGAGGAAGCCCGTTAAAACTAGAATAGTGTTATGATCATTTAATTGTAAAATCTAATTCTAAAGTATACCGTACCACATTTTGGTAATGCGACTATGACGGTTGGTGAAGCGATTTCTTGCCCGCATCAAAGAGGAAGCTACCCCTTCCCTGCAGGGCTCTCACCCTGGATATGATATGAGGTTTTCGTTTTCGTTGAGCCAAAGAACCAAGTTCACTTCCCTGCACCATTCTATTGCTCATAATTGCAGTAGATATGGTGCCATCGAAGTCGACCAAGAGGGTGCCATCCAAAGTTCGACGTATTTCCTCTGTCAAGTGAGAAAAATCTGTTGTCATCTGAGGCTTCCCGTTGATGCAACGCACCAGTGCTTTCAAATCCTCTCTTCGTGTCTCGTAGAGAACACGATGATCACTGATGAAGCCTCCCAACACCCTTCCTTCCTTCCTTCTGATCCATCCTCCAACAGACCCAAAAGAATAACTCTTCAAGTCTCCATTCTGTTTCGAAGAGTCGGGGCTCATTTCGTAGGATCCGAAAGCGTTACAGTTTTGGTATCCCGGTCTGTCTGGGACAAGACAGTCACCGTAGAGTTGTGCGTACTTCTCCAAATCGTCTTTGATCTTCTTGATATCTCGTGCGGCAGTGGGTTCGGTCATTGTGTCGCGATACTCGAAATCAAAGTCGTCTCTTATCTTCCTAAAGCGTTTCAACACCAACCTCTTCGAAAGTGCAGTAGTTGTCATTCCACCCGACTGCATGACCCGTATTCTCGAAGAAAAACAAACTTGGTAGAAAGTCTCGCTATGCTTGATGAATCTATCGTCCACAGTAATGGTGTTTCGATACCATCCTTTTGCATCATTCAAAAGTGTGCTAAAGGCGCCTCGCTTGCCGAAGTTGTATGCGATGTTTGATATATGTCCTCTACAACATGGGCAGGTTGCGTTTCGGACTTCATTATCTCCAAGTATAGCGTCTCGTGTTTCTGCAAGCCACTGGTCGATACACTTGATGCAAAACTGGTGGTTGCAGTTCATGACCTTCGCTGCCTCTCTAAATTTGATGGGTTCTTGGCAGATCGGACATGTACTTCGCTTGCTGAAGGTTGGAGAAGAAGGGCTTCTTGTTGTGGTTATATTTGCGTCGCGGACCTGAGTTGCCATGTTTGCAGTTGATCTGTCAATCTGTGGAAGACGGAACTTTTTCCGAATTTGTTGTTGGCGAATTTGCTGTTCTTCTCGAGCTTGCTGTTCTTGATGACATTGTTGTTCTTGCCGAGATTGTTGTTTCGGTCGAGATTGTTCCCCACAGGGAAACACTTGGGAAGTCATGTCGCCTTCTTTCTGTTATTGGTTCAAATTTGAGGATGTTGGTGCCAGAGTCAATAATAAAAGGTAAATTTTGGTGAATTATGCCAGGAGGTTTGACTGGATGTAACTTGGGTTTTCAGGATGATAGAAATCTGCCTTCTGACTTATTTCCGACGTTTGTTCCTTCACTGTTTTGTACCTCGTTATCGGCCCACATCGGAAGGCAAATAGTCATTTTTGGTTGTTTTCGACGAATGTCCACGTATAGAGCCACGTCGTAGATTTGTGGTGGGTTCAAGGGATCCACAGGAGATTGCGGCCCAATACTCTGCCACGAAGTAAGGAGGGTAAGCATATGCTCAGATCAAGACCCATAACATCGCCCTCGGTATCACGCTCACGAGTGATTTTCATAACCTATTCTATACTTGTTCCTAACGTCGAGCTTCTATTGTATTTCTAGATTGCGGAATCGTCAATTGTTATTGGTTGATACAAACCCCTCCAACATAATTTGCCCATAGATAATTATTGTATTGAACGTTACAAGATACGATAGATTATATTACTGCACAAGTAAAACTGATTACCAAATATCCCTCGGAGAGTCTTGAAGACCCTGAGTGTTGTCTCGAACTGCTGTACAGGTTGTTTCGATTCATAGACCCCACTTTAGATTATTCAGCGAATAAGCGAGCATACTCGTGTTTGACCCACGGTCAGGTGGACCTGATGCTGGTTTACGGATCCCCTAACCGCCTGATACTGTATCGAGACACGATACAGTGTAGAAACAGATCTAGACCTCAAGATTAAGAAATCCGTCAATTGGTACTCCGTATGGATTCTCATTCATCGTCCAAACATCCCAAAAGCTTAGTGCACCCAAAACATCATGAGTCAATCTTCGTCATCTTCGCAGTTATCGTCAATATATCTTGCCGAGCGACGTGGAGGTGCTTGCACATGAGTTTCGGTGTCGGAATTTGATGCCGTATCGCTCCATCTCATCATCCTCGGGCTCCTCAGCATTCAGATTCTCCATTTCTCCTCTGAATCCCAATAGATCATGGCCCGTGATACCACTATGTTTTTAGGGCGTTTATGGGAGTTCAGCGGATGTGAAATCTCCGTATGCAGCAGTTGAAGCTTGAAATAGATGGAGACGACTCTGATGTAATATAAAATTAGTTAAGCCCTTGGAAATTTCGTCTAAAGTTAAAACATACTTCAAAATTGAGATTCACAACTTTCAGCAAGATCTCTTGTTTCAGTCTCTCCCAATATCGATTGACTTCAAAGCCTTCATATCCTTGAACCTATATCTCAAGCATAGACTCCAACGTGATAATTTCGCTAAAGCAGGATATGTAGAAATGAACACACCTGTTCAAAAGCATCATGGAGGACAATTTCCATTTGGGCCATCATATCAGCACAACTCATTCTATCGATTTCTCCCGGAACGCCCTCGCTTAGTGCTGAAAAGGTTTCCGTCGCTTCAATCTGACACATGAGAGCCCAGAGCTTTTCTATCGCTGCTCCTCCTACGGGTCCATTTTGTGTATTCATTATTATTATTATTATTATTCCTTTTAACGTGCTGTGTGAGTCTGAGACTATAGTAGCACGGCTGGGGGTTTCCCTCCAACAGATGAGTAAAGCTGCACTAAATACATGTTTGAGAAGGGGTTTATGGTCATTACAGTTCTTGGGTTGTTGGAAGCAGCTAGGCTTCTGGTTATGAC